AGAATAGCTGTAAGAAATTCATTTGACTCTAGTTGTCTTATGTATACCTTAAAGTTGCTTTTCTGATAAGCTTGATGTTTATGCAGCTTGGCGTTGATTTGGTAAACACTAGAACTCTAATATTGTTTTTTTTTTCTTTCAGGCCCTTTTCTCAGCCAATGCTGCTGTTTTGGCTTTAAGGAGGTCTTCCCCAAGAGTCACAAATTCGAAGGATGTAAGTCTGACTTGTTGAAATTTTTCTTAATCTTTTTTTGCAGTTGCTTAGTCTCTTGTTTTCTAGGAAGAATATACAGTCTTACTTGCTAAGTAGCGACTTCATCTTCATTTTGCTTATGGACTAGCCTTGTATCAAATCTAAATATTGTTATGAAATGATAAATTTTTCCATTAGATTCTTAGACTCTTACTTTTATTTTTTTTCTCTGATGTATTAGTCTTCATTTACCAGTTGAAGGATTAAAATGACCAATTGATAGGCGTTGATAGTCTTCAAAGTCAATGTTGACAATTGAGTGTGAGTTTCTTTCATCAAAACCTTCTCAAATATTCTTGGCAAATTGAGTGTCTCTGTATGTTAATCCCCAGAAAGTAAGCTCTTCCCCTTCTACCTTCTTTCCCATACGTTGAGTTTGCGGATTGCTCTTTCAGTTTGTGGATTTATCGTAGTTGTTCAGAGATTTCTTACAAGTTTTCGTTTCATGTTTGCCAGATGACTATCACCTGTTCTGTGGTGATCTTGGAAATGAAGTGAACGATGATGTTCTTTCCAAGGCATTTGCTCGATTCCCCACCTTCAATATGGCCAAAGTAAGTTGTATATCTCTCTGTCTTGTTGCTTAGACTGCTAAGAATTTTCCTTGGTGGGGCTGATACATTTGCAACTCCGACGATGTCGAATGTACAGAACTTGGTTGTCCTTTAAAACATATGAATCACTCAATACTTTATTCACAAAGAAAATTATTCATTGTTAATTTCGTGGTCAAAGCTTCTAAGGACAATAAAAAAAAAAACAAGAATAATTATGATTTCGCTGTAATCACTTTTTCTGGATAGTCTCTATGTACATATTTCCTCCCATTTTCAATTTTCATTGTTTCTATGTTTCTCGCACTGCCATATGGATTCTTTATTGGTTATTTCCTTCAGTATTGTTGTTGAAAACATCTTATCTACCATGACAGGTCATCAGAGATAAGCGTACTGGTAAAACGAAGGGTTATGGGTTTGTGAGTTTCTCAAGCCCGGCGGATCTAGCTGCAGCCCTAAAAGAAACGAAGGGTATGTAGTAGATTTTAATAAAGTTTTATTGTCTACTGATGTAAGAAATTATATCTCATTGGTTGACTAAACTCTGTTCCATCAGATATTGTAATCAAAAAACTACTTTGTATAGTTAACTTGTGATTTACGATAAAATGTTGTTCACACTCCTTTAAAATTCTGATGTAAACAACAAAAAATAAAGATTTTACAAAATTCTGTTTTAACAAAAAAAAATTTATCAAAGAGTTCTATTGTTTCTTCTAAAATAAAATTTCAACAACAATTTTCTTAGAACCAAGAGAAAATATGCTTGAATCTGGTAGTGAGTAAGTAAGTTAACACCACCAACTCAGACTTTTTATCCACCATTTTGGTAAATTCTCTAAAGGTACAATGTGTAATGGTATCTATTGGTCATCATTTGTAATGAGCATAAGTGTATTGGTCATGTTATGTATTTTTATCACCTAAAACAACACATTATATCTAAAGCCACATAAAAGAACATTAGTAGACTACACGACGAAGTCTACTTTGATAAACTAAGTACCTAAAAAATCGAAACTTCTAAATTCAACAATAAATATCCAATGAAATGAAATAAAATTCACTAGGTAGTTCAATCACTTACTAAGAAGCAATTCTAAACAAAAAAATTTGAAAAATAGTTTATAAATTTGCTTAAAACGCGTTTTTTAAAAAACGTCAAAAGTAGACTTCTAAAGCAGACTTCGAATGTAGACTGGAGGAGAAGTCGACTTTGATAAGCTAAGTACCTAAAAAATCGAAACTTGTGATTCAACAATAAATATCCAATGAAATGAAATAAAATTCAATGGGTAGTTCAATCACTTACTAAGAAGCAATTCTAAACAAAAAAATTTGAAAAATAGTTTATAAATTTGCTTAAAACGCGTTTTTAAAAAAACGTCAAAAGTAGACTTTTAAAGCAGACTTCGAATGTAGACTGGAGGAGAGGTCTACTTTGATAAGCTAAGTACCTAAAAAATCGAAACTTGGGATTCAACAATAAATATCCAATGAAATGAAATAAAATTCAATGGGTAGTTCAATCACTTACTAAGAAGCAGTTCTGAACCAAAAAATTTGAAAAATAGTTTATACATTTGCTTAAAACGCGTTTCAAAAAAAACATAGGAAAGTAGACTTCTATAGTAGACTTCAATTGTAGACTGGAGGAGAAGTCTACTTTTTCATCGAGAAGTCTACTAATGAAGTCTACGTAAAAAAAGGTCATTTTTGCAATTGACCAATCTGTTGACTTTTCCTTCAGTAGACTTCAAGAGTAGACTTTACGCAAAAAAGGTTACTTTAGCAATTGACCAATGTGTTGACTAACATAGTAGACTTCTATTGTAGACTTCATGTAAGAGTAGACTTCTCTGGCAGTCTACTTTTGAAGTCTACTTTTTAAATAGAAGTCTACGGAACAAAATAGGTTATTTTTGCAATTGAATTTTTTTAGTAGACTTCACGATGAAGTCTACTCAAAAAAAATTCCTTCCAAGTTTGACCGAACACAAAAAGTAGACTTCACAAAGAAGTCTACAGTTTGTAGACTTCTTTGTGAAGTCTACTGAAGCTTTTTGGAATTTTTAAAATTTTTTAATTTTTGAAAAACAGAAGTCAAACACAAAAATGACCTTTACGTTTTTGGTCAAACTACAAAAGTAACCTGAAAGTAGACTTCGTATGCAGACGAAACCAGTAGACTTCATAATGAAGTCTAAATCCAAAAGTCAAAATACGGTCAACTACAAAAATAACCTCTTTTTTTCGTAGACTTTTTAAGCCTTCAAATGAAGTCTACTATGTTTTTTTTTGTTTTCAAAGGATATCGAGTAGACTTCTCGTGAGGTTTAATGAAGTCTACTTTTTAAAAGTCAATTGCAAAAATAACCTTATGTTGAATAGTAGACTTCACAATACTTCACGAAAAGTTTACTTTCGCGATATGAAAACTGAAATATGGAGACATTGAAGTGCGACGATTACTTTTTACAAAATTGAGCTCGGCTACAGTTCTTTTAAGCACCCATAACTCAGAATATCACCAAAAATAAGCAACCGAGATGTTAAGTAACCAGAAATCACCGAAAATTCATGACTTTTGGCATTGTAACTTAGCCCAGATGTTTTGGAGAAGAAATTATGAAAGAATGAGGAAGGTTATGAGTGAATGAGCTCAAATATTTACTTATTACAGCTTTAAAATTGGTTGATAAGCATTTATTCCATTTTCATGGTTGTTCATGGTGGTTGAAGGTAATGAAGACGATGGCATTCTCGTAATTAAAAAGTCTTTAGAAGGTCCAAGAAGACTTTAGTCAATTAAAGAAAAATCGAATTATTAGATGTATAATGACATTTTCGTTAATAGTTTAAGTGGGAAGGATAAAATTGTGAGAAAATGGCAAAAGTTGGAGAGAGAAAAAAAAAAGGTTGGTTTTGTGTTTGACTTTGAAATATGAGTTAAATTTGAAACTCTCTCATATTATAATAACCAATTTATTCATTTAAAACAAATAAAAAGATAATTTTCAGTAATATCCATTCTCGTACTGATTTGTTTAGAAATCATTTTGGTATACCCTCGTAAATATGGTATTTACGAAAGAAGATGAGTATACAGTAATAAGCAAAATACTAATAAACCCTTACTTAAACGTTTGTGTTCAGAATCAAAAATTTCTATACCATTGATGGAAACAAAAATCTTTTACTTTGATATTTGTACATTCACTTGCTCAGATATATGATGCGCTTTAGTGTTTGATCAAGTTAACAAAGTAGGAGACACAGTTAAAAACTGGACTCATTATCAAGAGCCATATCCAATTCCCCAATGTAAGCAAAGGTTTCCAGGCCAGATTCAGTTTTGGAGAAGTGTTTGTTTAAATCCTCTGTCTTTTAAGTTCTTAAACAGATCAGGATTTATTTATTTTTTGGTCAAAGATCAGGATTTATTTATGTTATGATTTCTCTTCTGTCCAACTATATAGAAGATTTCTCTCCTCAAGTGTTTTCCCTCTCTCAGAATTAAACAACATTAAGCTTTGAAATGGATTCTTATCTACTGTGTCAAAAGGTTATTATATATGCTGCGCAGCTTGATAGTTTACAGTACGCAAAACTGCTTCGATGATGAATCCTCCTCCACAAGTCCGGGAAGACCAACAACAACAGCATGTTGATTGCGGAAGAAGAAAAGGCGATTGCAATAATGGATCTTGCGCTTTCTTGCGCTCAATAAATAGCAAAGATCTGTACGACACAAATGAGCCCTTGTGGAATAAGAAGAGATTTAGACAACGAGAGTCAACGACATAGGACACAGTCAGAACCACGACCGAGAAAGTTTGTGGTTGTCTACCCTATTCCCTATATCCTTTTGCTGTCTCAATCGCGTTTCTTCCTTATTCTCATTACCAAGTCTTTGATCGTCTTCCTCTATTCTTGTCATCCAAGATTCTAAAAATCTATATTTTAAGGGGTTTTTTTTTTTCCATGGGAGTTCATTTCAAGAAGTTGCTCATATGGCTAATGGTCACATGCATCGCGGAAGTTGCTCATGCTAATGGTCAACTTAAATCATACTCGGTTTTTATAATATCTGAATCTTGACGTGATAACTTGTGACCAAAGCAGTTGTTTGAAACAATTAATCCACTAGGAAAATCCAAAATAAACTACTTCAACAAATTGTCGGGCAAAAAATAGTATATTATTATGAGATCCACGTTTTCAAATTAGATATTACAAGCTTCATAATTAGAGTGGACGGCTAGTGCCAGCCACTTGAGTTAGAGAAGAGTTTTTGCATAGTCACACTCAAACAGTAATTTGAGGTGTCCCGTATTGTTGTCGGTGGTTCTTCTTACTATAGCAATGCGATCACGCAGAGGAGGCTTGTGACCCTTAGGAGGAGCTCGAGCCTTATTCGGGTAGTACCTGTACCTTATGTAGAAAATTGCATTTCTAGCCAAGGGTCTCTCGCTCGGAGGCTCCACATTATCCTTAGTTTCTACTCTCACCTTCACAATCTCCAATTTTGACAGATTAGGCTGCAACAAGATTTAACAAAAACCAAAAAAAAAAAAAACACTTGTTGTTATTATTTACCAACAGAGAGCCACTCCACTAATATAGTGTCATTGAAAAAAAAATATATATATATTTACAGATTTAAGTTTGGTATTCACGGTGAGGAATGCAAGTTCCATGTATAGACGAAGCCAGTCATATTTTCGCAGCTCTGATTTTTTCATCTGTAAAAGCAAACACAATCAGTACTAGTACTGGACTCGCAAAGGCAAAAAAAAAGTGAAAGAGAAACTGCCTGTAAGTCTTACAACGTAATATCGTTTTTTATCTTTGAAAGCATCCTCTGACGGCCACGCAGGCAAACTACCTTTGTAGAAATCATCATCTACCTGTTCAGTATCCAAATGTGTCGTCAACACTTTACCTCCTCGTGGTGGTCCGTACTTAGGTCGAGCAATATAACAAGTCAGATCATTCTTGTCAATGCCTTGTTCAAGGACCCTCGTTTGAAAAGGTACAAGGCAACTGCCTGCAGCTGGATCCTTTGCAATCAATGTTATATAGTAACCACAATATACTACGCTATATCGTGTATTGAATTTCTCTATGGAACTTAGCTGCAAGTTAGTCCCCTGACATATAAATCAACCCAACAAGAACTGAATTAATAAGGGATCCACTCGAAGAAGAAGAAGAATATTACAAGACAAGAGGAGACTAGTTTTTCAACCTGTATCAAATTGTACTTATGGAGCCCCATCTTAGCATAATGGACTATATGTGTTGGGTAATCATCATTATCTTCAAACGTGCGCGTATTTAGCTTACAAGAGCTTGGTTTTACGTCCATCAAATGATCGACATCGAACCCCTTACACACATTCAAAAATTTTAAGTTAGGGGTTTCGATTTGCGAACTAATTATCGATTTACTAGAAAGATAACTAGATCTAGTAGCGCTATGGTTAGGGCTAGGGATAAGTTTGTGGATCAATTTCAACATAAACTAATAAGAAGGTGAAAGAATTACATCAGATTCCCCGAATCTTTTCCAAAACTCCAGCTGCTCCTTGATGTCAGGATCCAAATACATCGTAAGACTTCTTAAACTTTGCACTTCTCAATCTAGTGGCTGATTCTTCTCATTGAAAGGTACTATTGTTTAGTGTCGATTAGGTTTCTGAATGATTTTATGGGCCTCACAGCCCATATCTTCTTGGTTCACTAACAATATTATCCACCGGGCTTTAGGTGGAACAAAATTAGTGAGATGATGTGAGAAGAAGAACAAAAAGAGGCAGAGGCAGAGATAATCGTGCAACAAAATCTTGTTAACTACACTGATGAATTGTTTTAATTTGCAAGAAACAAAAAGAAAATGATGCTGTTAGGGGATGTACTATCTAGCTAGCAATGACAACGGGGGTACTTTTGATTAGGCGTGAGTAGCAAGTATGTAAGTATGGAAGGCCCAAGACACTCCACAGGCCCAACAAGCAAGCCCACCAACGGTAACTTGAAACAGAGGAGCTCTGCATCTGTCCCTGCCAAAGACGTCATGCACGGAAAAGAGACGCTCCTCCTGCAGAACAAATTTGAAGCTCTTGATTTATGTGTATAACAGCTAAGATTACTTTACAGCTCATGTAAATAAGATCTAGAGGGTTCTAAGACCCATATATAAGCATAGACTAACTCTCTTGTAAAAAATCATTGAAGAAAGGAAAACATTTTCCAAAATATCTTCTTTCTCTTTTGTTTTCAAAGTAGACAAGAGACTAAAGGGCTTATTGAGAAGCTGTCACAAAACTTGTATAAAAATTTTACTAGTTGGTTTGCTAGTAATATCAAAACCCCAAACAAATCTTCCCAATTAAGTCTAAACAAAATAAATCACAGAAACTCGTTAATTTAGATGACTCAAAAAGAAGGTTCAGGTTGAACAACAGCTTCCACAAGTGCTTTCTCATGTCTCGAGCAAGCCATTTCTTGAGGCGGAGGAGTAGTCGGCTCTGGTTTCACTCTCGAAGTTTCCTTGTAGCTTCCACAAGTTGTTATCACTTGTTTGTTTTTTTGGTTTTTCTTTGTAATATATTGTGTTTTATGGTCTGTCTTTTCTTTTTAAAGAAAAAAAATGAGATTAGAAGATGTATCGCCGTGGGTAATGGGAATCTGTAACATGAGTAGGAAGAACCGCAATTATTTTTCTTCTTCGGAAACACAAACCTGAGTTCCCATGCAAGATGCCATGTGGGAAGTTTTGATATCCTCAAAACCCACAAAAAAAAAAAAAAAAATCTGACATAATTTTTTATATACTCCCTCTGCAATCAATCTTACACAAATGAAACTATACCACTAGCCGACACAAAAAAAGAAAAACTTTTACCGCTAATTATGTGCCAGAAAATCCATTTGAAAATGTGTTAGAACCTCCTTAATTATACTATGAAGATTAAGGCCCAAATTACTATATATTCAGGCCCAACTATATTCTAATGGGTCTAGAATGCTAGATTTTGGTCATAGCTTTGTGGCTTAAACCCTAGGACCTCGGGATAAACCCTGATTTGTATTTTTTATCTCTCTCAGGCGCGCGAATCGCGAACGCTTGATCTGTTTCGTACAACAATCCCTTTGTTACAAGCTTTTTTATGACATTTTCCCCTGTCGGATTCTGCTCTCTGTACCTTTGATTATGGCGGATTCGAGTGCTGAACCGGCCGGTGCTTCTTCAGGCTCCGTGGGTTCTGATGAGAGCAGTACCCAGATTCAGCCGATCCGGATGCCAACCATCGAGGAGATCCGAGCCCAAGAGATTTGGAACAACTGCGCCGTTAAAAGTGTAGCTAGTGGAGTCATGGGTCTCTTCCAATCTCTCTCCTTGTCGATCAATACTGCTTCGTTGCTCCTGATTTTAGACTCCTTTGACTATGATTGTTTTTTTTGTTCTTCTTCTTCTGATTCCTGATTTGCGAGTTCATGTTTAGCAAGACACTCGGAGTTCGTTAATTTTTCATTTAGTAGTTCACTGGAAGTACGAAATGTTCTAGGCATATGGTTAATGTGTGGATACTGAAATTGGTTATATATATTCTTTAGATTTGGAGAAAGTGTTGAGCTTTCTAATTGTTTCCGAGCTGGTTAATGGGTCACTTTGCACTTAAAGTCGGATTTTTTTGGTTAGTTGTTAATGTGAAGATACCGAATTGAATTTGTTGTTCATTCTATAAATGTCATTTCTGACATAAAGCTACTAAGATTTGCTCGCCGGTAATAGAATGTACTATCGAGTTCAGAAGTAAAGAACTAGGCATGTGAGGATTCTCAATTGATTTGTACAAATTCTCTGTGAATTGTATGTAGGAGGAGGGCTTGGGCTAATGATGGGTTTGTTCTTGGGAGCACTGGATAATCCTATAATGCACGATACGATGACTGCTAGGCAGCAGTTTGTGTTCACAGCAAAACAAATGGGGCAAAGGAGTTGGAATTCTTGCAAGACATTTGCGGTTATGGGTTTGGTTTTCTCAGCAGCTGAATGCATTGTCGAGAAGGTAAAATATATTATTGACCCACACAACAGTGACCAAATTCCATCATAACTTCAAAAACCTTAACTGTCAACTTTTTTATTTTCCGATTTACCTCTCTGAAAAAGGCAAGAGCGAAGCATGATACAACAAACACCGCTATTGCTGGATGTGTGACCGGTGGTTCTATGTCTGCCCGAGGTAATATCTATCGTTTTCTTTGTATGGACTTTAAATGTAAAGAGGTTTTGCATTGGTCTGATTCTCAAACTGAAGTCTAGCAGCTGCTTTGTTTTCTCTGAAAAGTACTTCTCCATTCGATTTTTTTTCTTTCACATATGTTCTTTCAAGAGAGCATTTTTTTTGCGATGTGCTTTAATGATACAGTTGTCTCTCTGGTGATTTTGATGGATTGATTTTGATTTCAGGTGGGCCAAAAGCTGCGTGTATAGGTTGCGCTGGCTTTGCAACTTTCTCTGTACTGATAGAGAAGTTCTTCGATAGGCATACATAAACCAGTAAGGTCACAAATGCCATTGCTGGGGAATTTTTAGCTGCTTCCTTCTGTGATAGTGATACAGTATATCACCTGAGCACTGGGAGAGAGTAACTAGAGTTACATTTTATAAACAGAGAAGAAAGTGAGGCTTGTTTTGATTGATCATTGTTCAAATTATTCTCATTATTTATACTAGATTTCATTACACTCAGGCTCCGATATCAAAGTGTTCCTCAGAAATATAGGGCTTGTCCTTACACAGAGTTCCAAATTTCGGAGTTTGAAGTTCTTGTTGTCCTTTATGTACAAAACTGCCGTATTAATCTGTTTAATGTTCACTCTTTTTACTACCATATTTTTAGCAGAACTTGACTGAAATTGATGAATACTTGAGCTAAAAACAGAGTAACAATTTGGTGCCTAAATAAATACACTTGTTTATGAAGAAAAAGGAACTGCCTATTTAATGTGTGACAGTGGAAGAAAATTCATTACAAGTAAAATACCAATCCGTTTGGATTTGGATTTGGTTCGTCAGAGTGTTTTGCTCTCCGAGTCTCCCAACAATGGCGAAACACTGTTCTCAGATCACCAAAATCAATACTAAAACTGTGGTTTGTAGCAACTATACAAAGGTGGGCATTGTGCTTTCGCTACGAGCATACACGTGCTCTTCTCCGGCTTTTCTCTTCTCCTGAAGTTACCAACGACAATGACGATGTCACTTCTCTTTCTGATAAGCATCTCTTGTATGGCCTAAACCCATTTGAATGATAACAGGATTCTTGTTTTTCTAACGAGTTTAACCGTCTCCATGTTGAATTAATGGGCTCTGCACTCCTCTCCAAGTTCTCTGAAATTTCTTTGACCGAGCCAAACACATTAGAACCAGTACAAGACATTTCACATACCCCAAGAGACAAATCAGTATTGACGTTCCTAGGATCAATGTGGGAGGTAGATTTCTCTATCCATGAGTAGTGATTCTCTTGACCCGTCTTGTCTGCCATAGATTTAAGATCATCAACATAATCTTCGTAAGGGGATGGTTCATCAGATTCCCCCACAAGGACAACCTTCCCGAATAGCATAATGCTTGAGACTGGAGTAGAACCAATGGCAGCATCTTCTTTGAGAGATTGGTTGGATGCTGCATTGTCATTCTTCTTATCAATGGATGATTGGACGTCACTGGTACAAGAGTTAGGTGAGGAGCAACTATTGATTTGATCCTCTGAAGCAAATGCTGATAGAACTGAGGTTGGAGAATTTGTTCCTTTCTCCATAGCTGACAGATTTGAGGAAGGAGAGTGAGGATATGGAACAGGCGATTTCCGAGGATAAGGATGTGCCGGTTTTCTCTTTGGACGAGGAGGCGGGATTACAACAGCTTTATCTGAGACATCGTTCATATTGTCAGCTACCCGAGTCACCTGCAATGGATCAGACAATTTGTCAGATTACAAACAAACTATATCACTGAATCACTTATACTAATGTTTGGGAGCATCTAACTACACACGACCTTGGAGAAAAACTTCTGAGCGTGGCTTCGAATCTGAACAGCGGTTTTCGTACCTATATGTTCTGCAGAGAAATCAAGACTCTAAGTTCTTCTGAACAAGAGGAGCTAGCTAAATAGCTGTTTTGTATCAATGCAAACGCAAGCTTCTAGCCATAATGTTAATACCTTCGATTTGACGCCAAGCACGACCACAAAGCTTTATAGCTTCAAGGAATCTCTCATGTTCTGCCTCACTCCACTTTTCTCTCTGCTTAGTTACTGTGTACGGCTTCCTAACCTTCAAGAACAATGCACATCGAGGTCAGACAAATGAATAAAAACTTTTTCACACTATGTGATTTGTCTTCTCAGTTGTTAACAGAACATATACCTTAACAGCGTTTTCAATCCAATTACTGCTGGTTTCTGGATTTGTTCCTTCGTTTGAATTGCAACTCCCATTTTCTGCATTGCTGCTTAGTTGCTCACTTCGATCCTAGAGTAAAAAAAAATTCATTAAAACGGCTTGTAAAGCAGCAAGAAAACCATCGATTCGCAATTTTTCGACTTCAAGATCTTCCAAAAAAAAAAGATTACTTTCATATACAATCTACTACTTCAAAATTCGATAAGCTTCGCTAACTACTCTTGATTCATCAATCTGTTATCCAAAAGAAGAAGTTGATTAATTACCAGAGCAGCCATGTAACAGTATCTGATAAGCTAACTTTCTGAAGCGATAATTTCACAATTTTAACCTGAAAACGAACAAGCAAAGCATAAACTCAGTAAAACCACATATCAGATTTGTAGTCCCATAAACAGTCAGATCAGGTAAAAAGAAAAAGAAACCTCAATCGGAACAAGTATCCAGTGGCCGAGTGTATCTGAACAGTGAATAGATAACAGTTCTGCTTTATTTTTTTCCCGGGAAATGAAATTCCTGGAAACCGGAAGATATTTCCCGAGTAAATAACAAAAAGAAAAGTGAATAGTGAGAAGAAGAAATTGGAAGGAGAGAGTGAAGAGAAGGTACTAGAAAGAGGAGGTGACCAAATTTTAAATAGCCGAGATTTGCCACGTCAGATCCTAATATCTTATATTTTAAGTCATGGAAATTTCGAGAAGCTGACAGATATTTGTGGCTGAGAGCAAACCTAACCTAACCTTCACTCTCGCTCTTTGGCGGTGCATAGCACGCGATTCTTTCAATCAGAAAAACAAATGATTCTGTGGATAAAAAGTATTGCTCATTAGAGGAAAAAAAAAAAAAAAGTATTGCTCATTATGAAATATATATTGAGACTTTTGTAAAAATTATTCTGAAGATATTTTTTTGTTGTCATATCCGTCTCTCAAACCATTGATTAGAAAATACTCAAACCATTGATTATTCAATAGATAATTTTATACGCTAAAAGATTAATTTTAATTCGATTACTATTTACTGAAAACGAACGATGATATGGATTCAATATGAATAACTTCACACAAAATCTATATATATAAAATGGTTGGGATAATGGGCAAATCAGTCACATTCACATGGTGTCGGATGTGACAACGATATCTATTAATCACAGAGACTATATGAGCCACAATTTTGATACGGCCAGATCAGCCCATTCCTCTCTTTTTATCTTTTTTAAAATAAAAAAAATAAAAAAAAAAAGAGATATCCCTCTAAGATATTTTTCACCAGCAAAGAAAAAAAAAAAAAAGGAAGAAGAAGATTTTTCTCCTCAATTTAAAACATACACATTTCTTACGCAATAAAGAATAAACCATGACCATATCTTACATCTACACTTCATATTTTCTATCTTACACTTGTCTACAAGGAATTAAGGTTCAAGCTCTCCTGATTCAACACTTATGGAAGTTTGCAAAGAAAATTTTATCGAAATGATATCTCTGAATTTCATAAAAATCGAAACCCAATACAAGATTTGTTCAGAGTCTAATCAGGCCCAAAATAGGCTAATACTAACTTTGTACAATCTCTAAATGGTTAGTAAACCGAAAAGCCGACCGTCTCGACCGCCAGACGCACCAGGTTAACCGCATAAAGTCGCGCGCCTTTTGTAGTCCGCCTCGCCTTGACAGGTTCAGGCGATCTTTCCCGGATCGCCTTGCGCCTAGGCACTCCTTGGTCGTGCTTCTTAAAACTAAGCTTGATACTCAATCTTTGCTTTGTTCTTCGTCATTCGTCTTAGAAAATAATGCAAAACATAGCAGTATCAAAATACAACACCAAGATATAAAGCACAAGAAGCAGTAAAATGTCTATATTTGATCAGCAATTTCGTCATAAATGCGAGTGATGCAGAAAAAGGATCAAACCTCCAAAACAGCTTTAGCTTCAGAATCAAATGTTTTGCACAGTATCTCATACTTCGCCAACATAGTCTGCAAAAAAAAAAAAAGAAATAATGCACAAGGGTGCTTTAAAACCCTTTTGATGAATGCCTAATAAAAGAGATAATGAAAATCAAGACTACTGAGTTCGTACCGGAATATTAGTTCTGGATGGTGAAATGCTTGATATTCTGTACCTATATTAAAAAAAAAAAAAAAGATTGAGATTTCAGATGTTTGGAAGAGCCCAGTTCAGTAAAGACTAGAGAAAGAAAGAAAAATTTACTGACTCTAAGCAAGAAATTGACATATTAGGAAACCATCAACACTTGCAAAGTATCTCATCTGCATTGTTACATGGAATAAGATCATCTTCCAAAAGGTTACCTCTTACCCTAGCTTGCTCATGTAGAAAGTCATTGCCAATGCATTAGATGTTTGAACAGTTAGCACGATAGCACTCATCCGATTCTGAGAAGAAGAAGAAAAAGGAAAAACATAACCAAATATTATCATCAAGTGACATCAATATAGAAAAAAAGAACGGATTTTGAGAGACCCATTATAGAATCAACCTTAGAAGCAATGAGCTCCATCAACTGCATTAAGAATTCTCCCAGTCCTTTTCCTTGAAACCGGGATTCGAGCTGTATCTCATAAACATAAAGGACAGGTATCTCTTCCTCCAAAGTAAACCGGTAATGCACAAATCCAGCTATCTGATTACACCCTTCCGAGCAAATCCTTCGAGTAGACGACTCATAAGGTTTACCATAACGCACTTCACGCACAATTATATAATGTGCGTCTGTGGAAGACATCTCCTTACGCTTTGCCTTTTCTTGTATTGGCCAATCAGACCCGTAGAACCCTTCCATGTTCGTCTGTACATTTTAGAACACACCATGTATAATATATTTCAGGCGAAATTCCAAAACAGAATGTTCAGAATATTTAATGCTACTTCAGTTTCCTTTTTACCTTCAAGAGCTTTCGGATGTGTTGCTTCAGAGGCGAGGAAAGTCTATCTCCACGGCCAGATTCCAGGTACATGGATAAGTCTACAACACGTAACAACCACACAAACACAGAATTAGCTCATCATGAAGGCTCTTTCTGTGAACACAACACAAACATATGATCACTGAATGATACGATTACCAAAGTCTGCTCCAAGCCGATTAATATAAGGTATGCCAAAAAAAAATATCAGGTATGCCAAAAAGCATGAATTCGAAATTACATTTCATATCATGTTGGTGTTATTATTATTATTGACAATTCTAAAACAAAAGTCAAGTGGTTATCTTAGATTATCAACGTGCATCAAATCAAACCTTATTCGTGAATGATAATCAATACATAAAACCCAAAAAATTTTCACGAACTGTCGAAATTCTAATAAAGCAGAAGAAAGAGTTACCATTTTTTCTGTAATGGCGGAAGGAATCAAAGGGAGAAAGAGGATCGAAAAGGGAAGAAGCTCTTTTTATAAGATCATGAATCGTCTGTTTCTTCTCTAATATCTGCACAACAAGTGTTGAATGCTCGAAGCTCGAACAAAAATAAAATCGAAATTTCGAATGCTAATACACAAAATTTTGGGAATTTTCACCTTTCTTCGTTTCTTCGAATCCATGGTTCACCACACCGGTGATCTCTCTCTCCTCGTCTCTCTTTCTCTCCGAAGTGATTCGGTAGGAGCCGGATCCATCAAACGGGTTTGAACCTGAATCAGATCCGACAATAAGTTGGACGTCAGCGTAAAGATTAAAAATCGTTAAAATTAAATAGAGAAGGCCCAGTTTTCTTTGTGAACTAAAAGGCCCTTTTGTTTTGTTCGCTCAAGTCAGCGGTAATTAAACTTTTTATTGAAATTTGTTAAAAGCTTTGCAAAAAAACTCACGGCGATGTGTAAATAGTACTAATTAGTGTAAAAAAAAGGTTTGATCAAAATTGTAATTTAATTGATTTCAATATGGTATTCATTCATAGATTCTTGTACATCAAATCAACGCAAAGACAATGCACGACTGTTGAACTAAATTTGCAGTTTCTCCAGCATAGAAGATGATGTTAGGTACTTAGGTATCAGGAGCTTTTCTCTTCTTGTTAGAGACAGATGAAACATCATCAAGTTTAGACTGGCCAAAAACAGACCTGCAAATTCCAAAGGTTTCTGGATATTAGAACCAAACAGCTTGATAGCTTATTATACTGAGAAAGAACAAGACGGGTCAAATCTCTTACCCGCACGTTGAACATTTCTTGTGATGCTCACAGAAAATGGACAGACACACTGAACAGATGTAGCCCATATCGATAGTCTTTTTGTGGCAAAAACACCTGCAAGTTTTGTACATAAACCATCTCTTATATATAATATGCGGAGGGAGAATCGAGTCATTGAAGTGTTTTTGATTTGATCACTTACGATGCGCGAAAATCAACGCCTACGGGTTTAGGAAGTTGTACAAAGCCGCGGGAGTGCAAATCAGTTGCAAAGATCGTCTTTTTGTGTCAAAGCAAAACAAACGAGAGTTAGCACGCATTGAATGCGCTTAAATGTAGCGAGTCACATAGATCTAAGCAATGCATGTGTAATGGTTTGTGTTTGGACTTTGGATTTGAGTTGAGAGTGTACCGTTAGATACTGAAACAGCCCATCCAACTGTTTAGGTGTATGATGCACCCCGCCAGTTATATAAGATGCCTAAAAATATTCCAGGTGATGAAAAAACTAATGCATATGTTGATTTTGAGGAGTTGAAAATTCAAGAAGCATGTCGTTGCATCGACTGAATAAAGGAGAAATGATATTGGTTACCTGCTGTAAAAATGCTGAGTTCTGTGTACCTATGTAACATGAATCAATGGGAACCTAAAGAACCAATTGATGAAGTGACTTGAGTACAGATTTTTGGAATTCTGAGAACGTCAAGAAACCCAAGAACCAATCAAAATGAAGAGTACCATCAAGCGTTGGGCAGAGAAGATAGAGTTCATTACAGCTACATATCTGAAAAAATATACAAAATCCTTCATGACTATAGACATACAGGAGAAGGTATTGCAAGAAGAAAAAAGTTACAGAAGAGCATACTGTTCCGGGCCATCTGGGGAACCTTGCAAGCATAAAATCTGTATTTCATATATATATGTCAATATCACAATCAGTTATATTCTACGAGGTTATGCAGTAGAACAGATAAATCAAAGGAGAGACAAGTCTATATTATGAAAATAATATAGTTCTAAGCTGAAAATTCCTACAAATCAATCAAGATGAATAACATTATTTTAGAAACTGATTGATAATATGACATAATGAACACGCACCCGAGGCTGAGGATGAAGATGTCCAGAACGGAAAACCCTCTGTATATCTAGCCAAAAAAATCAGGTAAAACAAAAAATTGAAGACCACACACATAGACAAGCTATAGGTTTAGCCGAGAACACACAAATCGACCTAAAAACGCCACCGCTTGTCCTACGCTTTAAGATTACTAGCAGATGATATGTAGCCTTATCAGGCTTTACTTGCAAAAAACAAACGCAAAGAAGAGTGATCAAATGCAAAGTGATTTCTTTCATGAGGATACAGCAAAGAGCCATGGAGAGTGATCCTGACAAGAGAGAGGAAGCTATTCTATCCTCATGCTCCTCCTCCTTGCTGAGCTCCTCGTCTTTGGCAGCAAAATCTTCCAATTTCTCCAGCAAAGAACCAAAAAGAGCAGGCATTCCACTTCCACTGCTCTCGAAATTCCCATTAGGTGTCAAAGACGAATCATAAATGTAATCACAGGAACTGTATCCAGTAGCTATAACTACAACTTGGTTCAATTGGTTTAATCCCAAAACTGCGTTCAGAAAAGCAAGCACCTACATAACAAGCAATCACCAGGTTTTTGAATACAAACGAAGCATTCACAATACAATTAAATTCGCCGGAAAAAGCTTACTTACATGAGAGAGGAACTGAGAGAACTTAATCGACGTAGTGCTCCAGAAAAAAGGATTCGTGTCAAGCAACAAAACTAGAAGACTAACATCGTCTGCGACCAAACAATCACGAGCGACCAGACCCGTTTTCAGTGTATGTACTTAATACGAACGCAGCTTCAACGATTGACATATGTTAGGGTTCTAAGTAAAGAGAAGTTTAAGACCTGAATACAGCTTCGAAGCAACGGAGGCCATAGCTTCACAGATTCCAAGTCAGAATTTCAGTGCCGGGAAATCGTCCTTTCCTTCTCCGATATCTGTACAACAAAGTCTCGAGTTTCCGATCTCGAACGAATTTTAAAACACGCAATTATTTCGAAAATGCTATAAAAATTTACAGAAAGCTTCCGGGATTTTCACCTTTCACCGTTTCTCTCAAGTGAACTGAATACGGCAGGAGTCGGATCCATTAAACGGGTTTCCACCCAATCAGATCCGACAATAATATGCGGGGGCAAGCCCAAATATGGCACTATTTCAAGCTTTATAGCCAGGCCCAGTTTTCTATATACAATCTAAATTCTAAAAGAGTTTTTTTTTTTTTTTAAACACTGATTTATGATTCTGTTGAAAATATTTGACACTGATTTAAAGAAGTAGCTGTTAGCTCAGCACTAATTTTCTCTTTATTTTCTTAAATTAGTGACGTCATTACCAGTTCACAACTGAGTTGAGGCCGGCTACGGATTTAATTGTTCAAACTAATCTGATGATATTCATATTCTTCAATCTTTTAAGATAGATGTTAGAATCGTGATTATCTCGATTTATATCAACAAAAAAGGCCAAGGAGATCACTAAATGTAGTTACAAATTCGTATGATTAAATTCTTACAATAAAACTGCTACATTTGGGTTGATAGATTTAAACCCGCCGGTTTAGCCAATCCAATATGACTCCAGCGATAATTCCCCGTTCCGGTTCAAAGAGCAGATCATGCAGCAACCCATCGAACAGCTTGATCGACTTGTCGGACGAGGAAGCCTCGTTGTAAAGCTTCTGAGTCCCTTTAGGATCAGTAACTGTATCGGCTGTGCCGTGCAGCACGAGAAACGGGACCTTGATTCTTTTCAGATTCTGCAGCAGATGAGCAGCAAGTCTAAGGATCTCGTTACCGGTTCTTGCTCGGATAAACCCGGTGTAGACTAACGGGTCAGAGTATTTAGCCACGACAGCTTCCGGGTCACGAGAAACCGGCATTATTTTCTTCTTTGCAGCACTTAACTGATACCTCGGAATGAGGAACGCAAGGACCGGTGCAATTACCTGTTGAGAAAGCTCCATTGTTTCAAGACCAAAGTCAAAATAATGTTTTGTGGAAATTGTTCAGATTCTTGAGGTTAACTTACGCCAAAAATAGGATGAGATGGTTGGACTCCAACTGCAGGTGAAGTTAACACAATCCCTGAAACTCGAGCTTCGATCTTTGGATCTAGCATAGCCTGCAAAAATAGTTTATACTTTATATAGTCAACACTTATAGTTTCAAGAGAAATGATATGTACATGTCTAAAAAGTATTTTTTTTTAATTCTTAACCTTTAAGATGATGGCTCCTCCTGTTGAGTGGCCAATGCAGAAACAGGGCAATCCCGGGTTTTCTGCTATTACCTTCTCAAGAAACGATTTCTGCAAATACTTTAAATTTCATAGGTAATTGTACGGGTTCAAGCGATTGACGAAGTTTTGGGAACTTAAAAAGAGACTATACCAAATCAGCAACAGCATAATTAAGAGAAGGAACATAAGCATGAAGTCCATCGCTTCCACCATGACCTGTTCAACCAAGAGAAATCTTTAAAATGAGTAACGAAATTAAGAGAATTTCTTCACTGTTAAATGCTTAACACGAGCATAACTTCGAACTGGTAAAGTGCTTTTACCGATCCAGTCTAGTCCATAGACCTTGAATCCATTAACATTTAGCTGCTTTGCAAAATCACTATACCTGCCACTGTTGACCGTTTGAATAAATTCATGTTAGGCTTCTTTTATGCAAGGAGATATTATGATCAGATCAAAGGCTCCACAAACCTGTGTTCGTTCAGACCATGTAGCAGAACAACAAAGCCCCTACAATCAAGCTCACAGAAAGATATCAGCTTTAGGGCCTAAGAAACGAACCCAACAAAAACTAAAACAAAAAAAAACAGAAGAAGACCATAAAAAGAGATTAAAGATACAAAATTTGCAAAATAGGTGAATGTAAAGTTATATAGTTAAGAGATCTCGAAGATCAATGCAGAATATAAACACTGAAGACTTGGTCAAGAGAGAGCATTTTAGTGTATATAATACATTGATCTTCAAGATCTCTTAACTAGTTAAGAGAATCATCTTTTAAAGATTATCTCGGCTGTTTGGTTGATCTTCTCCTCATGAATATTAACAAATTAGTTTCAAAGAAGCACAGATTATCTCAGCTATTAATAGCCATTTGCTTGTTTACCTTAAATTCCATGGTGCCTATATTTATATTTTATGCTTTATGGGAAAATAGGTCACATAAAGTTACCTAGTCAACAGATCTTGAAGATCATTCTACAATATTAGACGCTGAAGACTTGGTGAAGAGAAAAAACTTTCTAATGAAAGCTAAATGGTATATACATTGATCTTCAAGATAATCTCTTGACTAGTTTAGCAGAATAATCTTTTAAAGATGATCTCAGCTATATGTTTGATCTTCTTCACATGAATATTTACTAAGGATTATCTCAGCTAGTCTCAAACAAGCACAGCATGAATCATGCTGCATGATGAAGCCACCTAAGGAAATCTAAATAAGGCACCACGTAATCCAAGGTAACAAGGTAAAGGGGCCAATTTAAAAGTTAGGGACCAGCTGAGAAAAAGACATAAGAATCCAAGAAACGCCCCAAGAAAACGACATGTTTCCTGTCGTAATTAAGCTGGAATTCTCGAGAGCCACAAGTCTAGACTCTAGAGACAGAGAGGGACCTCCTCTTGCTGATTTTCTCAACATGGCCAAAGCCTTAGAAGATATTTATCTACTAAGTTGACATAGAAACAATCAAATCATCACAACAAACTAATAAAGAAATGAAGTTAGTAGGAGAAGAATTGACCTGTTCTTAACGGAGCCAACAGGTGTCCATGACTGAGTGAACAACGTGTCTCCTCTCTTTGTCGGGAAGAGAGAGAAATCTCTGACGTAGATTCCATCGCCACCGTCATCCTCCAAAACCCGCCTCATTGCTAAACCCCGTCTAACGGCCACTTCTTCATCAACCACCGTCGTCGGCGATGGGGAAACGCCGCAGACGATGTTCCTCCTCCTCGGTGATGATTTTGATCTCATCGGCATCGCGCCCACCGCCATTGATGATCGTCTTCTAATAGCTGTGACACTAATCGGAAGATGATTTCGAATCCCATTTACATAAAATCCGAAAGGTTTTTTGAGGGGTAACCTCGGGATTGAGTTTCCACTAGCTATAACAATCGTTCCTCCACTTGACCAGACCATAAACAAAGAAAATCCAAAGGCGATTTTTATCGCCTCTCTGAAATTAAGGGGTGGAATGCGAGACTTTTGAGTGGAGAAGAAAATCCCAAATTTAGGTTTTTCTCTGATCATGTAACAGAAAAAAAGAAAAGAAAAACAGAGCTTAGAAGAAGAAGAAGTTTCAGGAAAATGGTAAGCAGAATCGACAAGACAGTGAGTGAAGCAATTTGGAAAGTGAAAAGAAAAAACAAACTTTAATTCGAGAGATCAGGAAAAAAATTCAACCTTTTTTGTAGCTGAGCATCTGAGATATTTATACGACAATCCAGCGAAACGCACGAGAAGAGTTTCCCATAAAATACGCAGCGTTTCGTTCGACTAACTTCCTTAGGACTTGCCGACTTAAGAGTCAAAGGAGAAAAGTAGCTAATTAGATTTCCTAACGTATATACCAAATTACCAACCAACGATACCGAAAAAAAAATTAAAAAAGCCTTTTTCAAGTTTTTTCATTGCAATGATGAAGCCATGAAGGTTTTAGACATTTAAGACTGCTCTTGGGGGGGTACATATGTTCTTTCTTTGAGGAATGATACAAAAAGACAAGAAAGCCTCTTTATAAATACATGTGAAATTTTAGATGCAAAATAAGTTTAAATAACAACAGATCAAGGGTTTGCTGTTTTTTTAATTAAAAAAATGATAATAGATCATGGGACTACGTGTACTTTACAAGTCAAACAAACACAAAAGAGTTCTTCACAAATGAAGAAGATTAGAGATGTTGTCCCAGCCAATGTTCCACTGCCTTTTATCAGAAGGCACAGCGAAATTGAGCTCAAACATCTCTTTAGAGATATTACCACTTTCACAGAACCCAACAAGCTTCGCAACTATCTCTGCACTCTCTTGCACGTGCCTTGAGTCGTAAGGATCAGTCCATAGCTTGTTTACAAACTGGAGTTTCCTCTGTTTCCCTTCCAATGGCACATCCCATTTCATATACAACTCCTCTCTCTCCTCAGGTGTCAGTCTTGAGTTAACCCTTCTCGCCAAAAACTCTCTTTCTCTTCTCAATGCTTTTATACTGAAAACGAATCAAGCCTCATTAATAAATAACCCAAGAAGCGTTTATAACAACACCATTTTCCAAGTAAAGAAATTATTCACTCATTTACCTTGATGATAGAGATACTATGGATTCATCGCCGTTTCGAGCTGGAGTTGCGTTACCTACTTCTGCTAGATGTTGTTCTAACCACGTCAACCGTCTTAGCTCGACTTCCATGTAGATCTGATCGGCTTGATCACCTTTAAACAGTAGATAGAATTGTGTCCTGTGGATGATGGAAACATGACAGACATGCCACAGCTCTATGATTTGTTGTCTTTCCTCTATGAAAGTTATATGCCACGCGACTTGACTCTGTTCTTCATCCTCCTCTATCATCTTCTCCTCGTTCTCTACGCTGTATCCAGCTCCTTCATTTGCTTCCAACTCAAGCACCTGCATAAGTTGAAAACCGATGAGCTATTTTTGTCAATAATAAGGGGTTTCTGGTAGTGTTTGTTTTCTTTCTCTAACCTGACAAACGAGAAGTTGCTTCTGGTACTGTAGTTTAGCTACTCGTTCTTTGAGTTCGGTTACGTATGCTCTTATGCTTCTCACGTTCTCCTCTGCAGCGTTTTGGAACATTTGCTGCATTTTCTTCATGTTCACTGAACTTGATCGTCTGTAACCTGGAGTGCTTTCTCTTGACGAGACATCTCCGCTTTCTTCTCCTTTCTGAGGAGTCTCTTTCTCAGACCTCTGTGGTGTCGATGTCCCTCTAGTTGCAGAATTGCTGTTTTCTTGAGGAGCTTTGTTCTCAGCATCACAATCCAAGACTTGCCTAGAAGCTGAAAGAGGAGAGCATGGAGATTTTAAGAAGTTCTGGCGGTTGGAAACGCTGCTTGGTGTCAGAGGAAGAAGCTTCTTCTTCTTTGACTGATGATGATGATTCTTTGTCTTTGGGGTTTCATCTCCAGCATTGATGTTGCTTGGAAGAGACATCACCAACTTATCAATTGACTTCTGAACACTCTCAAGTTGCTCCTCTAGATTTGCAATGGTGCTTCCCTGTGAATGGAGCCTTGTTATCTCTTCCTTGAGATTGGCGTTTACACTCTTGTTAGGAGCTCCAACGTCTTTAAGCATTGTGGATGGTTTAACAGTACGCATCTCCCTTATCTCTGCTTGAAGCTTGGCGATTGTCTGAGCTGCATCTTGGTTCCCTAGTCTGTGGCAAGCTACTTCCTTCTGTAGCACTTCTAGAGCTTTTGTTGCTTCCTCGCCTAACTGTTCTTGAAGGTGTTCAAGTTTTCGGATCTCGTTCATCAATGTGAAAGGAGCAGTTGATGATTGGCGTATCATAGACTGGCGTATTGTAGTCTTTCTTGCTCTCTCATTCCGGTTTAACGTTTTGTTCTCTGTGCTGGGAGTCAAGGCAACAGAATAGGAAAGACATTTTCTGACTGGTTGGTCTGGAGATTCAAAAGGATTTAAGCCCTGAATACAAACGGAAGGATAACGTTTTCAGCCAAAACTTGTCAGCATTTAGAGAAACAGGAGAGATAGGAAGAGGTAGACTTAAGAACCTTTTGTTGTTGATCCCCTTGAAGTTTTTGGCGCAACTCCTCAAGTTGGATTTGTGCATCATCTCTTTGTCTCCGTAGCTCTTCAATTTCCATTTCCATCTAAAAATGTCACAAAACCGCCACAAACTAAGCAACAAAGCGTGGGTTGATTCTATAAACTTTTGGTGTTTGGACAACTATAAAGTGAACAGAAACCTGTTGGATCTTAAAATCCTTTTCTCTTGATGGATCTGGGGTGCGACGCTCGGCCTCCAATCTAGCCACTTCTTTCTGCAGGTGTTTCACTAGTTGCTTATCAGAGACAACCTATAGATAACACAGACAAAACCAGAGAGTAAATTTTTGTTTTTTTTTCATCCAAAAGGGCATTAGGAAGAACCAAGAGTATGGATCACTACCATGTTCACTTGAGCATTGTTTGTAACTTCCTTCGCTCGGTTGGCGAAGTAAAGAGTATTTCTTGATTGTTCAACATGAGCCAAAGCTGGACTCAATGTACATATAATGGCTGTTCGAGCATTTCCACCGAGTGAATGCTGTAATATCCGAGTAAGCTTGGAGTCTCTGTAAGGTATGTGGCCGCTTTTCTTCCCCACACTGAGGAGTTCCCAAATTCAGATGAAAACAATTAATTAATAAAAAGAGTTTGTGATTTCAGTGTCACTCTCAACATATATGTAAAAATATTTACCTTAGTTTCCTTATAACTGTTGTAAGTGTCATTAGACTTAGATTGATATGGCAACCTTCCCTCAGTCTTGTTCCATCTGCCTGTGATTGTGACGCTCTTTCACTTCCTGCTAAGTCCACAAAGTTCTGCAACGCACACACACAGAGAGAGATTAAGTCGAAAAAGTTTTAGTTAAGTATTATGCAAAATTATCAAAACACAGATAGCGATCGTTTTTTTACCAGACTAGCCATGTATGACCGCACACAATCTGAATTTTCGCGGTGTGTACTTTGTATCGTCTGTTTTGCCATCAAGAATTTGTTATTAGCATTTCGCAGGGTATAAGGAATTTTTAACGAGAATAAAAAGGAAATTTTTAATCAAGAACAGTACCAGTCTGATTATTTGGTGTGACCGCGAGCTGGTATCGTTCAAAGCAGTTTCTCCAACTTGCCTTTGAGCTAAGACAATGGTGGCATTAAAAAAGACAGTAAAGGCCAGACGTCAGAAATGTTGAACATGAATAAACTAGGAGAATACAATTACAAGAATCCAAAAAAAGGATGCAACAAATTGTAGTTACCTTCACAAATGCTAATCAGATGTCGCAAGTGTTGATCGTTATTAGCTGTTTCTTCTACCAGTTTTTCAACCACAGTCCCTTTCTGAAAAGGCAGGATCACATCAATGGAAGTGTACATTCAATCACTGCCATAACATCAAGAAGAAAATAAGTGGATACCTCTGGGTCATCGAGAAGTTTAAGGGCACGCCCGGAATCTGAATTCAGAAGATCCCTAACATTTTCATTATATATCTCTAGTCCAGAAATCTTGATGGTAAAATCTCTTTCAGGAGTCTGGAAACAGCATAGGAAGATATTGGTCAGAAGAACTGCATTGACCTCTAAACATTGAATTGCGATTATTATCAAAGCAATCCTTACCTTAATTATGTGATTATAAATATCATTGACCGCTTTCTCCGTTACTCCTCTCATGGTGTACGTCTTTCCACTGCTCGTTTGTCCATAGGCAAATATTGTTGCTGAAACATTAAAAAAATATTAGTCATCTATGATCAATCCAAGTAAAAGCCAAGAAAAAACAGAATTTAGTCATAGAGCAACTACCGTTTATGCCCATCAGAGCAGACAATGCAACATTCTTAACACCATCTTCATACACATTTTCTGTTATACTCTCTGGTCCAAAAACTTTATCTGAGACAAAAGGGGTGCATTAGGTATTAGATTCCTCAGGGATTAAGAGTTCGAAACAGAAAAAAAAGGCACTTAATTTACCGAATGTAAATGAGGACTGATGATGCAAACGCTCTTGAGGTTGTGGTTTAGACACAATGGTGTGATCATCTACGCATTCCCAAGCAACTTGGTCTTTAGCTAGCTGTTCCTTCTTGTTTAGTGGTCTTAACCTCACAGTAACAACAATCTTCTCCTCCCTCGATCTTGAGCTCCCACCTGGTGTTACAGCTTGTGTTCTGTCCATCTTTGAAACTGGAGTTCCAGGAGTTCTCATTGTCGTCTCCCTACAAATGTTTCCAAATTTGTTCATCAGATCTGAATTCCAGCTTACAATTTTCCCAAAATCTAGGGATTAAAATGAAAATGTTCTGCAGAAATACTAGTCAGATCTATGAAAAGCTCATACAAGGCAACATCAATTAAGGAATTTCTAACGAATTTCGATTTGAGCCAAACCTAGTCCATAAAAGGTAATCCTAGACATGCTCAGAAAAGGAAAATTTAGCTTCTTTGGATTTGTTTTCATCCAAACCCGAAACTTCCTAATAAAAAAAACTTCATTTCACAAAACAGATTTAAAGAGAAGATTAATGAAGAGAGGAAACACTTACAGAGAAAATTGAGCCGAAGGAATCGGAGATTCAGTCAGTCTCGGATCAAAGAGAAAGATCCAGGCGGCGAGGAATGTATAGAATCGTCTCAGATCGACGATAGAAACAATAAATATGAAAGAATAAAAGAATGTGAGCAAATGAAAGATAGTGAGAGTGTGGTTAATTTCTAGTGTGGTGGTAGAAATGAAGAAGAAGACGAACGGGTTTTGGGCTTCTTTTTGTCTTTACGGAAGTGCGTGCAGAGAGAGATTTTGAATCTGAGGAACCCCAACGGCTAGTCCCTTCCACGTTTCTTTTGAGGGGCTTTCTTTTTTGTCCGATTTCAAAAGCTACCCTCACATTTCCCTCAATTAATTGGATCTGTAATGGATATTTTTCCGTGTCTAATTTTTTTTGTGCAATTTTTTTGTCCAGATCGTTTTGATCATTGATTTTCGTTTTGGTCATTGATTTTTGTTTTGGAAAATCGTGTAGATTATTATTATGTCTCACTTAGTTACTTGTTCTTTCAGGATTTTATGTACTTTTCTAGTGATTGGTATTGGGCTTTCGTTTCCACCTTTTCTTTTGTTACAATTTTGATGTCCACGATGATAGTTGTCGTCTTGTGAATTATTGGCTTCTAACAAAACGGCCGTCTATTCATTATCTACGCTCTCAACTTTTAGTTTATTTGCAGATCGAGCGGGAAGTAGCTATTACTATCCAATTTGGCGTATAAGATAGAAAATTACATTGGCACCCTCATCACGCTGCAGAAGAAAGGTAGAATCTACCCACCATTACACAATTGGCACTTGTGGGTCTTTGAAGTCAAAGTCTTTGCCTGAGATTTCTAAATTTCTGCAAGCCTGGATATTTCCCTTACTTGGATTAGGATATCTTTTATAGCAACTTTAGTTGAACCAAAATATAAATATATCAACTCAATCAAATGAATAAATAAAATATTGACACAACTCACAAAAATATAATAACACACTACTCAGAACCTAGACAACAAAAGTTATACGAGCAAAAACATTTAAAAGATCTAAATATTCAAAAATTATCTCTTCCTTGGTCAACATTCAAAAGTTAAAATAGCAACTAAAAACAACCATTGAATATCCATGTGTGTTTATATAGTTCAACGGTATCTCTTTTTGCCATTTTATGTAAAAGAATCTGCCATTGAATACTCAATCCTTCCAATTTGACAAGAAGTATATGAAAATAATATTCAGAGTCCGAGTTAACCGAAGTACGGATTTGATGAATATCCCTCAAAACTTATGGATATCCAGATTTGTCCCACCCAACAAACAACTATCACGTCCCTTATCAAAATGAAATCTGTGTAATGAAACAAGTCAAGTAACCATTAAAGATCTATAAGAATCACTGACCACTTATATAAAAACAATTAATCTTGGATGTAATCACTAATCAACGATCATAATCATCATAATTTATATAAAAAAAGTCGTCTCCGATAATATTGACCAATCTCCATAAAAGTCCTAAAAAAAAAACCTCTCCCAAGTAACAAAAGGCCTTAAACTCGTTGTTAGTACATCGTCAAAAACCCAATGACCATCTATCTTCTCCTCATCACCTCCGTCGTCTTCTCCGTCGTTAGCATCCCGTCGTGCTTCTCCGCCGATCAACAGTACGAGAAGTGCTTATCGCCTCTGAGATGCGGATCCAGTTCGGAGGTGTTCCCCAATACAACGTATCCGTTCTGGGGAACCGACATCGACAAACCGAAATATTGCGGCCAATCACCTTTCAATCTCTCCTGCCAGGATAATCAAACGCTGACCGTAGAGATCACAAATCTCACTCTTCGCGTGGTTTCGGTGAAACTGGAGAATAAGACAATCACCGTTGCCGATGAGAGTCTGTTCGAGGAGGATGGTTGCCCAAACCCAAAGCTTTTTGACTTCAACGGGGATGATTTGTTCTCATTAAGCCACAACACCGAGAAGATCGAACTATTCCAGTGCTCCGGTTATGACCCACCACCGGCGGCATGGCTGTCGGAAATTAATTGCAGAGCAAGCGACGGTAGGAAAACATATCATGTCTTTCCACAGAATGTGTCTGGCGGCCACGCTTGTCCGAGTGCTGGAGAAGTCCCGATGCTTAAATCTGTTAAGAACTCTCTTCTTCACGACTCAAATGTATCTCTCGGGGACGCTTTGGAAAAAGGGTTCGAATTGAGGTACTCTATACGAGACGAGATTTGCCGGACATGCACCGCTTCCAGTGGGATTTGTGGTTCGGAGTCACGGTCGGAGAATTTCCAATGTCTCTGTGAAGACAAGCCTCACAATTCCTCCTGTAACGTCAACGACGACCCAGGTTAGTCCTTTTGTCATTTAGATTCAAGCTATACTTTCTTTCAGTTCCAATTGTTATTTTTGTGATTTCATTTTAGATTATTACCATCCATTACATTTACGATTAGTTTCATCAAATCGTTTCTGCACATAGACTCTAGAATGTATACTTTGACCAGTTTGATAGAGTATTGTCATCGTCATTGACCCAACCTTTAAATAATCTTTTTAATACCCACTTGACTTTTTCAAAGCTGGTTTTACGTGTCTTGTTTTTCCATTATCATTAAAATCAGGATAACAGCTGCTCTTCTTTTTTTTCCGAGCCAGGCTATATCAATACATTGGGTTTCTAATGGGCTGACACTAATTAGTATGGGTCCAGTTTATTTATTTTTGCATAGTCGGTCTTAGAAAAAAGTCCTAAAAAATTAGTGGGAGAATTTAATGAAAGTAAGATTTTCCTTGTGTTTGAAGTTTCTGCTAGTACACCGACCCGCTCTTGACCAAAAATATTTCTTTCCAACTTATTGCCATTACAAGGACTTTTCTAATTTTAGAAAATAATTAATCACGAGTACTAAAATTCACCATTTGTATTTTGTGGGTCATCTTCAACCTCAGAAAGACAAATATAACTTTTCAATTTATAAGTCAATTTGTAGTCTTTATTTTCTCTTGTCCAAAGAAATTTGTTTTAATTACTCTTTGCAGTTTGCACACACTAGTTGAACAAACTCCAACTCTTACCCACCCCTTTGAAAACCTTTTAAGTTTGTTTGTTTTTCTCTCTCTCTTTTGTTCTGTTCTTCTTGTTTCTTTATCTCGTTTTCTTGCTTGCATCCTCAAAATGATTCCTCCATGTTTCTGCTACACATCCCTTCACAAAAACTTCGTCACTTTCATCTTCCACTTCATACTTTTAACGCCTCAAACTCTCTCTCTTGATCCAAAGTTCAAGGCTTGTGAGCCCAAATCCTGTGGCAAAGGTCCCGAGATCTCCTTTCCATTCTATTTATCAGGCAGGCAAAAATCTTTCTGCGGCTACCCAAGTTTCGACCTCACTTGTGATGATGAACAAAAGCTCCCTGTTCTCGGGATCTCCGGTGAGGATTACCTCATCAACAACATATCTTACTTGACACAGTCGTTACAGGTCGTGAACGCAAGGGCGTCTCGTGATCCATGTCCGAGCCCTATGCATAATCTTACCCTCCATAGGACTCCTTTCTTAGTGAACCCTTCTTATATCAACTTCTCCATGCTTTACAATTGCTCTGACCATCCGCCGGATGATATTCCGACATACCCTCTCGCTTGTTCTGGCAACACTAGTCTTCGATCTTTTGGGGTCTTCCAAAGGGAGATCAAGGGGAAAGAGAAAAAACTTCCGTCCGGGTCGTGCCAGAAACTAGTCCATGTCCCTGTTTCAGCTAGTGGCTGGTCTGATGTGAAGCTGTTTTTGGATATGACTTACGTCGACATTTTGAAGAGGGGATTTGTTCTGAATTGGACTGCACATAGTTGCTTCCTCTGCAATAGCAGCGGCGGGAGATGTGGAACTGATGATAAGGAATTTGTTTGCTTGTGTCCTGATGGACCTAAGATCCATGATACTTGTAGCAGGAATGGTAATCACTTGCGAATCGACGAGTAATCAATCTTCTGACATAATATTATTCTTCTTCTTTGATTTAGTTTTCTTTAACAACTCAATGTGTTGGGGATTTTCCAAACTCTGATTGGTTTAGTAACTGTAAAAGCATGCCTCGATTTATATGTTCTTGCGAATATTAAACTCTGAAACTGCCTGACCGTTTTCTTCATCTTGGTTTCAGATCTACCTCCTGATCCAAATGTGAAACTGAAGGTCGGCATAGGTAAGACTCTTTCCCGGTTCTGTTTTCGTAAAAGGTCCACAAATCTTCCGCTTTGATCTGTCTTTGTGATAATAAATAACCGACATTCAAATAGCTTACATTATGATATATACCTGACACCATCAAATATAATATTATACCTTGGAAAAGTCTTGGTTACAGCTGTTAGGTTATGCTCCTCTATGCTCTGTTTTCGTTTTTCATAAGTCTTAACAGATTACAAAATTCCACTCAGGTGCTGCTGCAGGGGTGGTGGGGTTAACAGCAGCGAGCATCTTTTGGTTTGTGTACCATCGAAGAAAAACAAAAAGTTACAGAACTTCTTCAGCATTGCTTCCAAGAAACCTCTCCTCAGATCCATCTTCAAAGTCTTCTGACGTTGAGAAAGCAGAGGAATTGTTGGTCGGCGTTCGTCTCTTCTCTTACGAAGAGCTCGAAGAAGCCACTAATAACTTCGACCCATCTAAAGAACTCGGTGATGGAGGCTTTGGTACTGTCTATTACGGTAAACTTAAAGATGGACGAAGCGTAGCTGTGAAACGTTTATTCGACAACAACTTTAAAAGAGCAGAGCAATTCAGAAACGAAGTTGAGATCTTAACCGGTTTACGCCATCCGAACCTCGTGACTCTCTTTGGATGCTCCTCAAAACAGAGCCGGGACTTACTTCTGGTGTATGAGTATGTTGCAAATGGCACTTTAGCTGATCATCTACATGGTCCACAAGCTAACCCGAGCTCACTCCCTTGGTCTACTCGGCTTAAGATCGCTGTTGAAACCGCCTCTGCCTTGAAGTATCTCCACGCCTCCAAGATCATCCACCGTGATGTTAAGTCCAATAACATCCTACTCGACCAAAACTTCAATGTCAAGGTCAGTAACTCACACTGGTTATAACTTATACGAATCAAAGCCGAGCCTAATTCCTAAACCAAGGCCAAACTCAATTAGATACAGGACTAAAATGATTGTATGATTTGATCTGATCATAATCTTTAAGTAACTTCTATCATCTTTTCTTGGCCTGTTTTTTGGACAATTAGGTTGCTGATTTTGGACTTTCAAGACTGTTTCCAATGGATAGAACGCACGTATCAACCGCTCCGCAAGGAACTCCAGGATACGTCGATCCAGATTACCACCTATGCTATCAACTCTCCAACAAAAGCGACGTGTACAGCTTCGCGGTAGTGCTAATGGAGCTTATCTCCTCGCTTCCAGCTGTCGACATCACAAGACCGCGTCAAGAGATCAACCTCTCGAACATGGCAGTCGTTAAAATCCAGAACCACAAGCTCCACGAGATGGTGGATCCTTCACTCGGGTTCGACACGGATACAAGAGTGAGACAGACGGTGATCGCCGTAGCTGAGCTGGCGTTCCAATGCTTGCTGTCGGATAAAGATCTTAGACCATGTATGTCGCATGTGCAGGAGACGCTGACGAGGATACAGAACAATGGGTTTGGTTCGGAAATGGATGTTGCAGATGTGAATAAGAGTGGACCTTTGGTTGCACAGTCTCCTGATAGTGTAATTGTGAAATGGGACAGTAAGTAGATTAGTCACGCGGACAGTAACATTTTTTATGTGTATTAATGTTTGAAATTGTTAACTAACAGTTAGAGATTGATGTTTGTGTTTTATAATAGATGATGATAGATGATGTTTTTGGGAATGTATGTATATATGATCTGAGACCTGAGTTTCATAAATACATCCATACTCTCCATTTCTCCAAAAGTTGATATATCCAGGCACTTGCTCTGATTCCCCTAAGAGCCTCGTTATTGGGCCTGTGCCGGGTTTGGGCTCTGTAGTGTGTAGACTCGTCAATGCTCAAAATTAATTTTGTTAATGCTCACATTCATATTGTAGGACTAAAATCAGCGATGTCGCATGACTTTACCCAATCACACATTCACGTAGAATAACAATATTTAGTCATTTCACTACTTTTTTTTTTTTTAAGATAAAAAAAGAAATTAAAAATTCATTGAAACCCAGAGAGAAAGAGGAAAAAGAGAGGAAGAGAAGCTAAACTCGACGTAGATCGGGAAAAACCCTAAGAAGAATGTTACTCGTATTGTCATTTCACTACCTTTTAGGTTTAGATAAATGAAGTTTTATCAGGCCATGACGATGTCTTTCACTTTTCGTGATTCTCCAATTTTGTTGTGTTACCAATCTTTTTTTTTTTATTCGTAGTTTATTTTTCATCATAAGAAATATATGATGATAATCATTAATCAACCTAAGACGATCTGTGAAGTATAAGTAACGTCACAAACTATAAATATTATGATTTCAAAGCCTATCTTATTGCTTCCCAGATTTCCTAATTAAAGCACACCAATTTAGGGCATAGATGCTTTACTACTTCTATTAAAAAACAAGTTAGAGCGTAAGTGGTCTTAAATGAATGTAAATTGCATGTGAATCAAATCCCTCCACCATGAATTTTTGATAATCTATAGCAATGGCCCAACTAAATATTGACCTTTGTTCCAACCTAACTCTTCCCTATAACTTAAAACGTTTTTGATCTTTAAAAGGACAAACCACAACAAAAGAAATCTCTAGTATAGTATGCCGATTAGAGTGAAAGATTTTTTTTCGCTAAATAAATAATAATTGGGTAACCGAAAATTATATTACGATAGAATTGTAGAGTGTCGTCAATTCGTGTTTTCGTTTATCTCCTTATTCCAAGGTTTTTTGGGTAAATATTATTATACACGTATATAATATACATACACAATTTTAATTGTATTTTGTCGATTAATTGGAATTAGCCATTTGGAAGCAAAAATATAAGTTGGCAAATCGATGGGACTTTTTGCCAACATAAAACCTCCCTCTGCAAAAATTGTTAATAGGATGTGTCCATAACAACAACTCAATAAGCTTTGATATGAACTTAGTTTGACTACATCCATTTCATTTTCTTCCCAAGATTAATAAATTAATTTTAGAGATAGACAACTATTTCTTAATCTTACACCAAACTATAAATATACTATTTTAGTTCTTCCCCCTTGCAAAGACAAGAGCCTCATGGGACCTACGATCAAAACACTGGTCCCACTTCCCTTGTTTGGCTATAGCTTCCCGACACACAAATCCTAGAACGTTCACTTGCCCACGTGGCTCTCCCTTTATTTTTCTCTTTCTTTTCACATTATTTTTTCTCGATTAATTATATAATTTAATTAAAATAAAATTAGAAGAAAAAAAAGGTTCAATCGATCGATATATAAAGTCTCAAGCTCTGTATGAAAAACCAAGTCTCAAAGAAACTCACATCTCAATTCATTATAATACACTAGATGGCGAATTTCGAGAATCTATCTTCTGATTTTCAGACAATAGCCATGGATATATATTCTTCCATAACTCAAGTTACAGATCTAAACAACAACAGTAGTAACCTTCATTTTCAAACATTTCCTCCTTTCTCGACATCTCTCGACTCGCTTATCCTTCATCATCATCATCATCGTCACCAACAACAAATGCTTGATTTTCCCGGGATATCTCAAGACAGTGGTAATACTAATAATTTCTCCTCGACTTCAACTTTCATTCATTCCAACGTCGGTGAGACCAAGAAGAGAAAAGCTTCGGTACAGACATTGTCTTCATCGGAGAATAGTGGCGTCTCTGATAGTGTGGATATTAATACCACCAAAACTGTAATTCATCTCGAAACCCTAATCTTTTTTTTTTAAATATATATATTATTAACGTTTTCATCATGTTAATTACTTTTTTTGTAAACAAATTTAGGGTTGTTTGAGAAGATGTAAGAGGTTGAAGAAGAAAAAAGAAGAAGAGAAAGAGAGAGAAGTTGTTCATGTGAGAGCCAGAAGAGGCCAAGCCACTGATAGCCACAGCTTAGCTGAACGGGTAAATTTGCTTAATTATTTGTATCAATTCATAAAAAAAAACGCGGTGTATTCATTACTTAATTTCAAAATTTCAGGTTCGGCGAGGGAAAATAAACGAGAGATTGAGATGCTTGCAAGATATGGTTCCCGGATGTTATAAGGTAATGGATGGAAGGAACACAGATGATTAGATGCTTTAACAACAAAATATATAATAAAAAAAGAGAATGAAAACAAATATGATTAAATCCAAATGTGAATTTAGTTGATGATAACTGGGAGTTTACATACATGTTTCTGCAGAGTATGGGAATGGCTACGATGCTTGACGAGATCATAAATTATGTCCAGTCTCTACAAAATCAAGTCGAGGTTACTATTTATAACTAATTACCCTAAATTACATATTATGTTCTTAAAACACCACAGCTTTAAAAAAGTATCTCGAATCTTTTAGAAATGCTTTCGAAAAGTAGAAGAACTTTGACTTTTTGATACTTTTAAAAACAAAAATAAAATTGTATATGATGCATTAAAATATTTGTTTTCCAAAAAAATACCATAATTTTTATTTAAAAAGTTCAAAAGAATCCAAATTCTGTTTCTGGAAGTCATCATATATTTTCTGGAAGCGTGAGCTAATCTTCCAAATTGAGTTGTAACAAATGTTTTTTTTACAAATTTGGAAGGCTTAATAAAAAATTTGTGGTACTTTTAAGTTTTTAAATTGTAATGTATTTCAAAATACCAAATGTGAAAATTGATATTTAGAGATTTCTTTATTTTTAAAATGTATTTCTTAAATTGCTATAGATAATATTGTAGAATAGTTACTCATTCTTGTTTTTGTGTTCGGTGGATTCAGTTTCTCTCGATGAAACTCACTGCAGCAAGCTCGTTTTATGACTTTAATTCAGAGACTGATGCTGTTGATTCCATGCAGGTACTAAGACATTTTAATTACTAATTTTTCAACAAATGGTTAGTTGTAGAGATGTTGCGATATGATGGTCCAATCTGTTTGGTAGAATCGGGTCTATATGTCTTTATCCAAGTATATGTTAATTTTAGCATTTATATATGGTTTAGGTTCGACTATACTAGATTATATATCATCATGCATACTAACCCACGATGAATATATAATGTTTGACAAGTCCTATATCTAGTCCAGTCCGGCCTTAGAGTAATTGAACTTATTATATATATGATTTAAGCTATTGAGTAGTTATTTGCATAAGTATTAAATTTGAATGGAATCCCAATTGGCAGAGAGCAAAGGCACGTGAGGCAGTGGAGATGGGGAGACAAACAAGAGATGGAAGTCCTGTCTTCCATTTATCAACATGGTCCCTTTGACTTTTATTTTCCCTCTTTCTCTTATTTTTATATTTTCTTCCCAAATTATTCTTATATTAATTTGAATGTGATAGATGTCATACGACCCAAAACTTTGGGATAGTATTTGTGTAATCTGTATACTTGTAATTTCGACATTATGAATTTATTGGTGACTTATATTGGCTATTGTCATGGAAATATCTCAATTCTCTCCTTTTGTCCTGTCTTGTTATTTTGTTGAGGTATTATTTTGGTTTTTGTGAATACCCACAGTCATAACGAAATGAAACAGTGTATTAATCACGTAATCCGTGTTATCACTTATTAGTCACTTTATTAATTTTAATTATATTTTATTTTTTTTTATTAAAAATCTATAATCTATTTATCAGCTAAATCATTTACGAACGAAGTTCGACTACACCCGTTAAATAAAAAGATTAGTTTTTTTTTTAATGAGCTGTTTTGTTGACGAATAAAAAGAATTGCACTGTTAAGAGACAGTTTCCCTACATATATAGTTGTTTTGGATTACTAGCAATAGAGCTTACAACGTAACATAACATTGTCTATACCTATTATGCAAGTGGACTTTATTTTGTAATGGATTATTAGATATAGTATGACTTCTAGCTTAAGAACTAGATTAACCAAAAACAACTATTTGAGTTTTGAAAACGAAAAGTTTTCAAATGGCAATAATATTTGTGGTCGACTTCAACCAAAAACAATTGAAAGGTTTCAAATGGGAATAATATTGGTGGTCTATTTTGGTAATTAGTGAACAGCAAATTTGCTGAAAAAAGTGTTAGACCGCGATATTGGGTTCCAACAAAAAGTAGTCGGCTTGCATGATTTTTTGTGAAGATTTTCATAAAGGTCCTTACAAAGTAATTTCCTGCCCATTACTGAAAGATGTATACTAAATAATACTGGTTATTAAAAGGTCGATACGATAATAATGTTTTTTTTGTTGTCGTTAATGGTTAAATAAAGAAACTGGGAAGAATAGGTTTGACCAAAGTCAAACAGCGAGATAGGCATAGTCACAGATACGATATACTGAGAGAGCCAAGTTTGCAACTTGAAAGGGTCGAAAATATGGAAAGTATGGAACCAAAGAGACTTTGTCGGAATAAAATGACAAAAACACCCTTCACAATCTGTAGCTTTCCTAAGACAATGATGTTTGTCTCCCAAACCAATCACAAAGACAAAATAGTAAATTGTGATGCGAAGCCAATGGACGTGTTTTGCAGACTAACAACCAAATTTTTTGAGAAATTTCTTCCACTTTTTGTGGTGGTCTCTCTTATCACATCTCTTCTATTTAATTATTTATCTGTCCATACATTTGAAAAAAAAAATCCAATAGAGACGGTTCACAGAATCTGACGATGTTACCCATTCATAATCTTCATGATTGAGATCAACATTTCAGATATTTTAAGTATATATAAACAAATTTATTATATAATACGCTTGTGTCTCTCTGTTATTCTCTAATTTTCTTTACTTTTATATATTAAAAATTACATGACATTTCTCATTCCATATGGCAGGTCGTATCTGAATATTTACGACATATATAGATAGTTGTTTAAACGCTGAACTTTGAAGTTTCAGAGTTAAATATGCGCATAGATTAATTAGTATGTATGGTATATATGGCTCACACTTACAAAATATTTGGAATTTTACTATGTTTCAGGCATATGTTTCATGCAATACATAAACTCTCTTTTTTCGTTTAATTCTAATCGGATAATTAGGTACTCCAACGTTTCGCGTAATAACAAAACTCCGAAGTGAAGATGATGTAGAGGGAGCAGCTTTAGCGCTGTAGATATGAATTGCTAAAACGAGAACTAATACTAACTTCTGCTTCGAGATCTTAAAACTGATAACATAAAGAAAAGAATGCATGCATCCGAGGAATTATTAGTAAGGACAGCTTGAAATGGACCATACGTTAAATGATGATCAATGAGGGATTTTATGTTTACTTTCTCGTTTTTATATTTACAAAAAATAGAAATATTTGAACTTGAAAAGGCTCGTTTTCACTATTATATCATAGACAAATCTTTGTGCTTTCAGTTCTTAACTCTATTTAGTGTTGTGAAGAGATATAATGACATAAATTTACGATCCTAAATCCAAGAAAATATAAGTCAGGTATCACTTTAGTCTTTATATATTGAACTATTTCATTTTATTTTATTTTGGGGTTCAAGCTACTTATTGATGCACATGCTTTATTTCTCCTTATTCTTTTCTTTAACCTTTTATGTTGTCTTTTATATATTTTATTGTAATTTCCTATAATTTGGTGATCTAAAATTATATCTTCTTTGTCTCCTTTAAGGCCAATGATCTATTTGTTGTTATCCTACTTTGATTTAATATTGGTGCAATGGGCAAGGAAGCTAGATGTCAGACAGTGTCTATCCACTTTTATACTCATCATCATCTTAAAATATAGTGATTTGTTTTGTCATATTCATATTTCGCCAATGACGCATGATTATATACAAAAAGCTTCATGTTGTTCATGCCGCTCTCTAATCAAACAGAACCTGAACTAATCGTCTTTCTTTTTTTGTTAAGTACTAGTCAATGCTATTTACCAATTTCGTAAAGAACAAAAAAAACAGCATATTATTATTCATGATCGTCATAATATTAGATGCTGAAGAGGACACAATTGGGGGTTTAAAATGAGTAATGAAAATATTTGGGCCCCAAAATATTCCAAAAATAGATTTGGTGATCACATCATCAATTTGGTGACCAAAAACTTGGCTAAATTCAACTTCAAGTATGCAAATGACACTGTGGGGACTGGGGACTACCCACCAATATTTTGTAAGTGGATTTACCATACTTGTTTGTCATCATCTTCTCTCAAATCTCAATCACATTTATACATAAGAATTTAGTTTCCACTTACGATAACCTTTCTATTATTACACCTGTATCTTGATTTACAAACATAATTACAGTATTGAGAAGTTAATTTACCATCAATATATCGTTACAAGTCTATTTCACTATGAATTATAAGATTCTGATAAAACATTATTGTAAAAATATTTCGTGAGAATAATTAATGAGATTCGTATATTTACAAAATTTGTATTCAGACCAAATCAAACTACAAAATTAAGTTCCAACTGAAGCCAATGGATTCAGCAAGAGGGAGGGAGAGCGTCTAAAATTATTAAAAACAAATCAAGTCGGCTAGGGGTAAAAGAGTATTTTACGACCACCGTTTCGATGACTTGAGTAGATTAGAAGCACTTCCCGTCTTCTTCATGCCTTGAGACACAAGCAATTATACATCATGAGAACTAATACGCAAGAATAAAGAATCTCTTCGATTTAGAATAAAAAAATCATAAGTTTTGGTTGCTTACTTGGTGACGTCAACCCTGACGTGGCCTTTGCAATGGTCGTCGTCCTCGTAGCGACTTGCTTGAGTTTATCAAGAGGTCGTATTGCAGTCGTAGTTGCCCTTGGAGTCACCGGTTTAGTTCTGCAATTTTCGGATTCACACATAAAAAACGTTCAATTGCAATTAGTTTCATTTTGAAGCAAGAGAGAGGAAGAAAAAAGACGTTACTTTTCTGAAATTTTCAATGGTTTTCTCCCTTCTGCTACACGACCAACATCAATGGATCCTTCTGTTTCATCATCGAGCCTCTCATCGTACTCTGCATCATTGGAGGAAGATAAGGTCTCGCCGTCCGTGACAGAGTATCTTGATTGTCTGAAATAGTCTTGTTGGAATCTTGTGTCTTCTTCTATAGACAACTGCGATTCTCTAGTTTCTGAATTTGACTCATCGGATTGTCCTAAGCTCTTTTTCTGCAGTCTATGTGGGTAATTAATGTCCTTAAGCAAATGAAGCCGCTCTATCTCATCGTCTTTTTTCGCTATTGTGTCCTTAAGCGACCCTAACTGTGATAGTTCTTAAGTGTTTAGTGATACACTGAGCTTATATTTGATGTAATTGGAATCTATTTAAGAGAAGACATGAGATGAGAGAGTGTGTTTTAAGGTTTGTACCTGCTCCATTAAGTCTCTAACATCTCTACCATCTTTACTACTCTTTGCAGCACCTAACTCAACTCCTGAGACACGCTCTGCGAATTTCAATGTACTCATTGACTCTGAATATGAAGTAATATCAGGATTCAGTTGCACAAACATCAGTGTCTTTGCTCGCCTACCTGTGATGTTAAGCACACAGAGAGAAGTTAGCTAATCTCGGTTCACGATGTAAAAACAGGGCAGCAAATTTTGACTTAACCTAAAGAGCTTTGGAGAAGCTGAGTTAGTTTGCTGTTTCTATATGGTACATGAGAACTCTTTGAAGCGAGAGAGAATATAACATCTCCAAGAGCTGAGAGTGACTTGTTTATATGTTGTGCTTCTCTAAGTCTGTCTCCTGTAACTTCAGAGCGATCAACTCTTTCGCTACCCGCCAGATCTACCAGATGCAGATTTCCATACAGCGCAGAACCGGTCTTCAAGTCCTTGCCACGAACATGAACAGTGACAATACTGCAAGGAATCATCTATCCAAGTTATGAAACCTAACCTAACTATCTAGAGAAGGATAAAAGACAAAACATCAAAGATGAACTGGCCAACCTGTGGGAGCGGCTACTTCTTTCATTCAAGGCAGTTGAGCCAACAGATCGGTTTTGTAGCCCAATGCTCATTAGTTTAAGAACATCCGAGGTTGATGTCACCGGATACATGCTTGCATCAGGTACAGAAAGACCGCTTTGCTGAGTTGTAGAAAGAATCCCTAGTGTGTGAAAGTCAAGGAATGGCAACACAAACAGATAGTTCGAGAACAGATAAAGTGCCGTAGAAAATTTGAAAGAGATATAGAAAACAAGTAGAGCAGAAAAAAGGATATTTCTTTTGAGAAGTGTCAGCAGAGAGTAAATCTCGCACTTGTTCATTGTATATCTCCACCATCTGCACCCCGACTTCATACGTGATGTTGCTTTTTCTAGATTGAGATATTTTGAAGAGGTCATTGAGAGCACGATAGTTTACTCCCCACTCTTCTTCACTTGCTCCATCTGGACCAGTCTGAACAAAACAATAATGACGGTAAGAATACAACAACGTGATTCATCTCACATCTATATTGAGAAATAATAGTGAATGAATACCATTGTGTAAGTTTTCCCTGATCCTGTCTGACCATACGCAAAGATACAAACATTGTACCCATCAAGAACCGATCGAACAAGGGGTTTTATATCCGAAAATACCTCAGCTGCAAGAATCGAAGAGATACGATAGAGATTAAGATCTGTATTAAGAAATTCTGATGATACTAATTAAGGAACACGGATCAAATAGAAACTTCAAAATGAATGGAAGAAAACCTCCTCATAATAAAGGTAGAAAAGGTAACAAAAGACCACCTTGAGTAGAGGCTGGACTGTAGACCTTATTGAACCTAAATTTGCGAAGGCCATCTTTCCCAGGTTTTGTGGGATTGACAACTACCAACTCCCCATGCTCACCAATGTGTTCTACCACAGTGTTTGATGTACCTTGCCCACGCAAGAAAGGCCTCACCCGACAATACACTCGAATGTTTCCTGCAAGCCATAACTAGAGAACTTATAGGTTGCATAGAAGGAGAATTTATAAATCTGAATAGTAACAAAAACATCAACATGTTGTACATGATCCACATTACCTTTTAGCTCCTGAAGTTCATTGAAGAGCTTTTGGTTTTCAGTAAGGACAGCGTGATAGTTTTCGGCAGCATCTCCAAGTTCAAGCAAGTTCTTTCCTGAGGTTAAAGATTTTTGTTGATAAACAACACCAAACTTACAAAGTCACAAATATAGCATATTGAGTTATTAATAACTGACTCACCTAGCTGACTAAACTCTTCTGTATAATTATCTTGAACTTTTAGTATTTCTTGTTTGATGGACTTAGAATAGAATCTCAACTCCTGGAAAATTAGCAGGTTTAGGTGACTATGGGCTAATACAAAGACTGATTCTAGTCAATGGTATATGTAAGCATACTTGTAATGCCTTGAACTGGAAACTGATGAACCTTCTATACGAAAGTTCTTTCTGACTCCAACTCCGATTCTTCAAATCTGATTTTTCTTCCATTTCTTTGGCTTTACTCTTCCAAAGGACCAGATTTTGTTCAAGCTCTCGATTTTTTGCTTCAAGTCTTGTATTAACAGTTATCGTCTCTATCTTAAATTGTTGAAGCTCCTTCACCTTTTCCTCAAGAGTCATTCTAGCAGCATTTGCTTCTTTTCCCATCTTTTCAAGCTCTCGATTTTTTTCTTCAAGGCTTGTATTAACAGTTATCGTCTCTATCTTAAATTGTTGAAGCTCCTTCACCTTTTCCTCAAGAGTCGTTCTAACAGCATTTGCTTCTATTCCCATCTTTTCAAGCTCTCGATTTTTTGCTTCAAGGCTTGTATTAACAGATACTGTCTCTTGTTTGAATTGCTGAAGCTCCTTCACCTTTTCTTCAAGAGTTGTTTTAGCAGCATTTGCTTCTTTTCCCATCTTCTCAAGCTCCTTAACCCTTTCCTCAAGGGAAATTTTTGCAGCGCTTGCATCTTTTCTCATTTGTTCAAGCTCCTTCACCCTGTCCTCGATACCTGCTGTAGCGACCTTTGTCTGGCTTTCCATTTGCAAGCACTGTTGTTCATATGCTTTCTTGGTTGTCTCCAATTCTCGTCTTAAAGTAGAAATTTCAAGATTATATTGACCATTTTCTTTCTCTAGCCTAACCATATCCTCCTCTTTGTTTTTCTTCTTTTCTTCCAACTTGGACTTTTCTGTCTATCATAGTCATCTCAAGCAAATAAACATCTCACCAGAAACTTTTGGTGTGCAAACTTTCAGTAAACAAATTTACATGATTACAATGGGGAGATGCAAGAAGCATTACCTTTATCTGTCGAAGTTGTTTCGTAGCAATCTGGTGAGAAATAAGTTGATCAGCAGAGTACCACATAAATGAATTTCATGAAACAAAAATGTCAAGGCCTAAGTTCTTTATGATACCTCATTTTCTTCACTAGTTCCTGAAGCTAAGGTTTCAAGAACTTTGATCCTTGACTGGTACTTCTCCTCACGAGCTTTAAACACGTTGTTTTGCTGCAACAGACAAAGCTCAGAATATATTAAAAAAAACTGAACACAATTTACTGTCATCTCCAAGGAGACAAAAAATACCGTTCTTAGATGCTCAGATTGAGTTGAAATACGTCGCTCGATTTCCAGCACGACTTTTCTCAGCAAACATGCTACACGCTGATCATTATAGATAAAGGCCAGAAGAATTCGTAAGCAGCATGAGACAGATCTTTTGCAGAAAACCAATTAAGCATGACGCATCCATGTAAAGTATGCCAAGAATTGTTAGACTCAATCAAGTACCTGAGGGATTTCACCATTCTTTCTCTCAATACTGTCATCAAGAATTCCATTCACCATACTTAAGAGTGACTGTGTGGGAGCATTCTGCGTTCAAAGGTATATACTATTATAAATAACTGTGAAAAGAAACTAGTACTGTTACAAAGAGTAGGATATGCGGAAAGTTCATAAATAAGGTAAAGGCCGAGGCATACACCCTACATCTAAATTATTTGATTTCATCATTTCAGAAATCTTTGCGGCTTGGAGATCAAAACGCCCCTGCTTCATTTGGAAGGCCTCGTGGAACTTGTGCCCACCATGGAGCATTGATACAGGGGATGCGGGAGAATTGGACCGGGGACGCTGAAATTTGGAGTCCGCGAGAGCTTTCTGCCTTTCATGTGAAGATGATGGAGAGAAGGGACTACGGGGAGTTGAATCTCCATGAGAGCTGCCTGATTGATCAGTGAGAGAATTCATCATCAATCACCAAAGGCATCGAGGTCGAAAGCAAACTTATGGAAACACTTGATAAAGCCACAACTCCTTCATTCTCTATCAACAACGCCTGAAACAGTATATATTGTTTTTTTATATATAAATACTGAGCATTAGACCAAATCCCATTTTCAGTAAGCTATTTAACAAGCATAAGCCTAGAGCAAAAGCTAGTTGAAAACATGCAACAACATCATCTAGTAAAACCATGTTATATGTGCCCAGTATTTGGGACACAGTAATCTACCAGGTATCACTATACATATGTTAAGCTCGAAGAGTGTTAACTAATCACCAGGATCGAATTGCAATTAAGATATTGAGGCCCTACGGATATGCTTATAGCAACCTCATGATGATAATATCATATATGCTAAGGCAACTGGGAATTCTCATTCTCATTCGTTTTCGATCCTTAAATTAAAGATGAGTTTCTTTCCAATTTACAGTAAAACCGAATCCAGAAGCATTGATCGATCAAAAGCAAAAGGAGACGGATCTACCTAACAAATCCCAGCGCAAAAACGATCAAGCTAGCATTCCCAACTCTCGACAATGCGAATAAGAAGAAAATAGCTGAAGAGACGAACCTACCTGGAGAGGAACAGAAAATCGCGTACTTGGTGCAACAAGAGAAGATCGGCATTGGAAAAACTAAGTCAAAAACACAGTAGAAATCACGATCAGAAAATCGAATCATGGATAAAAGAAAACCAATGGGAGGAAATTTGTGATCGTCTAACCTGGGAAATTTCATAGGAGACTTTCTCAGGGAAACGAGCGTCAAACCTGCGAGAAAACACAGAGACGTGGATTTTCCTTTTGATTAGTCACGTCAAAGAGTTTCGTGCTTCTCTTTTTTTTTTGATTAAAAACTATAATTTTTTTTTTAGCTGTAGCGCGAATGTAGGAAGAAGCGCGAGAATCCCTGTTTCTCCTCCAATCGTTTCGGGTCGGGTCGGGTCAGATCGGGTTTTAATTTAACCCCCTAACTTTTGAATTTTAATTTCACCTAGCCCCTTTGTTTTTGCGCCTTACAATTTGTACCCAATGTTTTGTTTTTAATTACCACCTTCCATTTTTCGTTGTATTAAAAGTAAATGCACTACATGATCATGTTCCTGTTTATAATTGAATCGGTAAATCCACTATTTGGACACTGTGCACATTTCCAATATGGCACATTTACCCTTATCACCCTAAGAAAATGCTAATCGCACGATATGTTCAAGATATTTTGTTATTGAAAATATATTTTAATATATGATAATCGGATATACACATAATTAAACGATCCTCGGTTATATCGATTAGGATATTTTCCTTTTTAGACAGAAGTTTTCTAAACATTATCGAGTCAGAACAATTCCGAGTTTACAATATTTGGCAGTTTCCGGCGAAACTGAAGCTAACTTCATCAAAGTAAATGTAAATTTCTAATAAATTTGTAATCTATGCCAAATAATTTGATCTACGCTATCTAAATCATTCGTCTGATTTGGTTGTTTCAAAATCGAAATTCCAGAATGTCTAATATCAAGCTCTTTGAGCGACTGTTCGCTGCTGGACAAGAATCCGTGGGGAACGAGTTAATCGTACCAGAAGTCCAAATCTGTACAAACGATACTCAACACCTTAGACGAAGACAAAGTTAAGAGACTCCGAGATTCTCAAATGGGAAGGCTCTTGGCGACAGTGCGATAGCGTCGGCGCCGAGCGACCTCAGCCGCCTTCGCTCTTCGAAATCGATTTTAAAGTCTTTGATGAAAACAAAGCGAAACTAAGTTGGGTATGATTTTGATATCTGGTTATTATTGGTGACTATTGTTCATATATTGTGGTTTCTAGAGATTGAAGATGAAATATAGAATCAATCATCAACCTTTAGTCAAGTTAATCTAAAGGTTGATGATTTACAATTTTACTTATCTTGTAAAATATAAAATTAGAGCTATATCTAAGTATTTAAATCGTATAATAACATGTAAACACTTATTGGTAAAATGTAAGTTAACCAACAATGATTAAGTTACCGTGTTAAAACAAATGTTAGCAGTACATTTACATATTTACTTGATACAATAAATTTTAACATGATACAATAACATGTAACTTGTTACTATAATCCAACAGGATATTGATCTATAACTTGTTTTAGTTCATTGATCTTTGCGACGAAGCTCTCTGTCATAAAGTGACAGACACAATCACTAGAATCAAGCATCATATCTTACCAGATCAATCGAAGCTAACCGAGATTTTCAGCGATTTAGGTTTTATAGATTGGAGGTTGACGGAAGAAATCCAGAGGTTGGAGGATCAAACACGTGATCAGATCGACAAGAGGTTCAAATCCTCCATCGCATCTCTCATCAAATTTGTTTGTTATTCAATCTGCGTGATGTCTTAAACACGGTCCTTCGACGCTGTCACTAAATCTTGATTTTCACCACTATAAGTCGTTGTCAGACGCAAATATCTCGGCAGATTTCTAGTATCTGATTGCATTGGAGTATGTTAAAAATGTGTAAACTTACTATGCTAATAAAATATGTACGTTGTTAACAAGTTATGTAACTGTATTGGCTATATATACCTATGTAATATGTTAACAAGTTATGTAACTGTATAACTTATATATTAACTAGATGAGAGAAAAGAATATCTCGTGAATAAAATAAAGTTGATAAACAATAAAAATCAAAGAAGGGTTATATGCTAATTAACACACTAACCAAACATTGTAGATATAGCTTTTACATATTTTCTTTTTTATTTAGCAAATTTTGACCAGGTTTTGGTTTTTCTAGCAAATTGACTCTTGTAGTAAATCTGAATGAATATATTAATTACCTTTTGTTAGCTTAAAATTTCCTTTTCTATTTATTTATTTATTTACTTATATATTAATCAACCTTCTCTTCTTTTTGTTGATATAAAAAAAAAAAAAGCTTGATCGTCGTTTCTTGCTGCGTTCTCTCTCTCTCAAGCTCGCTCATATTCATAATAGCTCCAGAGGGTAAGCTTCTTCGATTTACTTCTTTTGCCATTACTATTCGTCGTGCTTTATTTTCCTAATGGCAAGTTTTGTGCTTTTGTAAGGTTCCTGCACATCTCAATGTTCAGGAGATTGATAAAACCCTAATTTATCCGGGACTAGTGCACCCTCATGCAAACCGAGAATTGGCGCCATAATTTAATATGTATAGGTGTTGTCAAAAGTCCCTCTCTTTTTTTTTTCCCTGATGAATTTTGTTTCTTCATGTCCAGGGACCGAGAATTTGCGCCATGATGCCTATTGTGACGCATAATAACAAGTCGAAAAAGATTGTTTACTCTCGACATAGTGATCTTATTCCGAGGATACTGAAAAACGAAGGATACGTCGAGGAGGGTGATGAGGAATCGCAGGAGGTGACCACCGAAGAAACAAAATCTGCCATTGCAAAAATTGTGAATGCAGCATATCCTAAGAATCTACTGAAGCAATCAGGTGACTCCAAGTGGATTAAGTATAAGCCTTCACAGCAATCTGCTTCAGCATTCAACTCCGGTGCTAAAGAGAGGATCATTAAGGTCTCAGAGAAGCTTAGAGATCCTCTTGATCCACCAAAGTTGAGGCACAAGCGAGTTCCGGTGGCTTCTGGTTCTCCAGATCCTGTTCCTGTCATGCATTCACCGCCTAGGGCTGTTACTGACAAGGAACGACAAGACTGGAGAATCCCGCCTTGTGTTTCTAATTGGAAAAATCAGAAAGGTTATACGATCCCTCTTGACAAGCGTCTTGCAACTAATGGAAGAGTCTTGCAAGAGGTTCAGATCAATGATAACTTCGCCAAGTTTTCTGAGACGCTCGATGTAGCTGTCCAGAAAGTTAGAGAGGGTTTTTGGATGCGGCTACAGGTTCAAAGAGAGATAGGGATGAAGGAGAAGGAAAGAAAGGAGCAGGAACTGAGAGCTCTTGCCCAAAAGGCTCGCTCTGAGAGGACTGGTGCTGCAAGTGAGAGTGTTGATGAACCAAGAGGGAATGTGGAACATGAAGAGGAAGAACGGATTCAGAGGAAGAAGATTCGAGAAGAGCGTCGTAGGGAGAGAAGAAGAGTGGAAGCTAAGAAGAGCAAGATCACAAGGGACAGAGACCGTGACGTGAGTGAGAAGGTTGCTCTTGGAATGGCATTTGCTGGAGGAAGAGGCGGTGGAGTTATGTATGATCAGCGATTGTTTAACCAGGAGAAAGGAATGGACTCTGGCTTCGCAACTGATGACCGTTACAACGTTTATGACAAGGGCTTGTTTACTGCACAGCCCACTCTTTCAACACTGTACCGGCCACAGAAAGATATGGATGATGAAATGTATGGAAATGCAGACGAGCAGCTCCATAAGCTCAAGAACACTGAGAGTTTCAAACCAGACAAAGCTTTCACCAGTGGTTCTAAGAGAGCGGGAAAGAGAGAGAGAGACCTGTTGAGTTTGAGAAGGAAGGTGAGGAACAAGATCTTTTCGGTCTCAAAAGGTGGGTGTCAGATTTGAAGAAAGGTAAGAAAATCTTGGACTAAGTCAATTTACGAGGAACTTGCTCTTCAAGAGATGATCATGGTGGTTCTGTTCGGACCAAGATCAATTTCTAAAGTGGCAGCTGAAGTCTAAACTGTGCTCGGCAATGGATCTCTGATAAATTGATTTACTATAACTTATAGCGAGTACCTGAACTAGTTAAAAATAAATTATCTTAATACTTTTGTTGATTACTGATGTTCCATTTACTTGGTTTTGAGATAGTGGACGGGTTATCCATCCATGAACACCGTTAACTCTATTGCTCATTTCAGTCTCTTATCATCTCTTTAATGGGTCTATCTTGTGTTGGTGTGTTTTCTCAAAATGTGATTCTTTCATTTCAATTGGTTTAATGCGTCTTTTAAAGTTTGACGAGGGATATCACTTGTAATTTGATACTACTGATTATGATTGCTGGAGTTGTTTGAAGGTTGAAAAGTTGTTTTCCCTTTACAAGGCCTCCGGTTAAGCACGTCTTGTGGTATACTTCACCAAACAAGATAGTATCAAATTCAATGGCATTGAAAGAGACTGTTGTTTAACTGATCTGCTTTGGTTTCAAGAACCATTACAACGCCAAAAAATCAAACAGAGGAAAGTGTCACAAAAAGAGGAGAGTGTCACGCAGATGAAGATCATGAAGTTAGATGAGAAAGTGTGTTCCGGTTAGAATCGCTGTGATCACAAAGATTGTCAGGTGGATCTTAGACTTCGGACCAGATGATCTCAGATCATAACCCAATCCCATCATGCTGGTTGATTTTGGTGCCACATGAGCCACTGGGGTCACTAGAAAAAAAAAAAGATTAGATAGGTCAAGATCTCTTAGGAAGCCTTATAACACAGAATGAGTCGTTTGTTAACATCAGTCCTCATCGTTGGTTCAGTTAATGCCTGAGATTGAATGAATATCAACTTACCTGCAACACCGGAATTGTTCTTTGCACCCAGAGAGACTTGAGAACCGGTTGAGTTAGTAGATGGTGGAGAGAAGGATGAAGCCCCTTTCAGCAAGTAGAAAAACATGTTCTTATTAGTTTCAAAAAAAACCGACAGATATAGAAATTGAGTTGTGTTTCTATGTGTGAATAGCGAATGGAGGATTTAAATACCTGAGGAGCAAACAGATGAATTGGCTGGAATGCTACAAAGCTGAGGCAATTGCAGAGCGAGGGTTTGATTGATGGGAAAAGCAGAGGATAAAGTAGAATTGTTGTTGAGGAAGAGACAC